AAGCTGCAAAATATTCATATCAATTTTGCAATTCGTCGCCGGAAAATGCTGAAATACTTCACTGATCTGAATTTTGATTTGAGTCGACTTAAAGTCATTTACAGTTGCAACGGAACAAAGGGCCTGAGCTGCCATTGTCTCGCACAACTCCAGTTGCTTATCTGTTTTAGGGTGAGAGAGGCCGATCGTACATAGGCGCAGTCAGGGGGACACCTGCACTTTGCCAATGGTGTCGGGTTAAAATTTTGTCGACGAGACTCCGATTTTGATCGTGGAAATGCTGCTGGCAACGAGATTACAGGGTAATCGAAATAGGGCGTTGTTAATGTGGTGACTTAGCAGCAAACATAAGTAGTCACTCCGAGGCTATGTCTACAACATACCGGATGGCTTTTCGAGTTGGTATGAAAAGTTATATACGGTGTAATATAACGACAACAGCACGGAACTGAACAAGCCGTTCACACACATGGGAGCGGTTTGACGCGGTAAATATCAGTCCTCACCCCTGTCTGTCTCAGTGGGTTCCAACCCCTCACCCTTTTATATACCATTTTCCACAGAAACGTTACCCCTCTCGTATACCTTCTATTTATAATAGTACCCTTTTCACATACTAGTTTAAAACGCTGAATCTCTCTCTTAACTGCTGTAATTTAAATGCACCGTCTTTTAAAATACGGAGCTTTACCTCCCTTATTCCATCTCGTTCAATTCGGCAAATAATGGCCAATTTTTCTGTAGCTGAATTCTAAAGGACTGTATTGAAGTTCAGGGGAAGAAATCGAAAATTACCGTCTTGTGTTTACGTCCTCCATGAAACGTGAAATCTGAGGCATTTTCACGTCGTAGTCGTGCAACCACGACAAAGAAAGCTACAAAAAGGCGTGATGCACGTGCAGAGTTGTTGGTCTACTAATCTAAAGCTGTTTTTTTTGCCGTTCTCGTTGCCGTCCTTGTCGTCGTTGCTTAAGCACCCTAATAGATTACTAAACCAGAAAGTTTTTTACAGTCTTAAAATGCGCCTGTAAGCCCCTTTAGGTCCTTTGACAGATTTCAATAACTGATATCCCTAACCTTTCTTCAACTCATGAAACCGCTACCCCTTCATACACCTGAGGCCTGATAAAGGTACCCCCTTTGGGCAGAGCCTCCCCGTATAGGCCGTTATAGGGAGCACCCCCGGGGGGAACCAATGCAATCCGATGACTATCCAATTTAAGAAACGGTCCAGATAAGAACGATAGCACTGAACGGCAACGAACATGTTGGAATGCAAAAAAAGGTGCTAACTTTTCTATTGTCTGTACTTACTTCTGATTGGCTTAAACAGCAAAAGTTAACAAAACTTTACAAAGCAGTACATATATTCATCCTTACTTTCCAACCATCTTCCATATAACAAAATCTGGTCTCAGTTTGAATAACAAAGAAATCCTATGTGGGGAACATGTAAAATTGTAAACTTTTCTTGTTTATTGTTTTCAACTCTTGTGATTGGTCAAAATCTTTTAACACAAAAAACACCCTTTCAAAGTGGAGTGTAAATGCATTTTATATTGCGTAAACGGCCTTCATGTAGGTTTATGCATTCTCTGTGTAAAATGAGAACATTCCCATGGGGGGGAAAGCACCGTTGCCGCATAACAAACGAAATTGCTATCCACCTTACCCGGATCATTACTTAATGTCATGTTCGATTATCGGTTTTGCTTCTGATTTTAAAACTGAAAAGGTGGTGCGAGATTCTTCAGCCCTTTCAGAAATTAAAGTGAGGAGTCATAACACCCAAGCAATCTCAAAATTACATTTTGAAAGCAGCCGCCGGTAACGATAATCACTTTAAGTACAATGATTTGATGATGGTAAAGAGTAGTAGTAACAGTGATGGTAATAGCAATTTGTAATAAACAAAGAGGTAAATATGATGATGGTTATGACCAATGTGTATTACAATAAAATAACATTTCAACAGAATAACAAATCACAAGCAATAGACCTTTTTACCGATACGGCGGCCATATTGAATTAATTCGATTTAAGGAGTATTATAGGATGCCCTGGGGGCATGAGCACATTTCGTTTGTATTTTCGAGCGCTTTTCGGGACAGTTTTTCTCAAAGTTTTCTTAGAATAAGATTGTAATGGGAAAAAAGATCCTTGTGCCGTGTTTGAATGTAATAATGATCGCCTTTTCCTAGTTTAGTATTAAAAATATGGTCTTTCACTGTATATCTCCCAGGAAAAAGGCGACCATTATTACATCAAAACACGGCACAAGGATCTTTTTTCCCATTACAATCTTATTCTAAGAAAACTTTAAGAAAAAATGCCCGAAAAGCGCTCAAAAAAACAAACGAAATGTGCTCATACCCCCTTGGCATCCTATAATACTCCTTAAATCGAATTAATTCAATATGGCCGCTGTATCGGTAAAAAGGTCTATTCATGTTTTTTTTTTTAGAATATTTGACACCTCGCCCGTCTTTGAAGTTACCATGAAAACGTACATCACTTTTTTACATTGCAAGGTAGAGTTGTTTTCCTGTGCAACAGCCCTATTATATACCTCCAACGGCGAAGACCTCGGCGTTTCCTTGACATCTTGTGGAGCCAATGGCGATGTGATCTGTTATATCCGCGTCAGACACGGCACATATTCCTTTGTTGACCGCAGACAGGCTTTTAAGTTCTGTTCTCGCAGCCCAGGCGCATTTATTCTCAAATGTATCCCCTGGCATGCGATTCACCACTTCGTTTGGGATACCCATCAGGGGTGGAGCTTTAGGCTTGAGACATCCGATTGCTCCAAATGCCACTTTGGGTTCAAAATTGCCTAGGCAGAGAGTATATACGCGTTATTAACTAAGTAAGAGGTCAAGTTGAAGTTGGCTGGATAACGGTCAAGTTCTTTTTTGTATATTTGTAGACCGAGACAGAGCCGAGGACAATAAAAACGAAAAAAAAAACCAGGCCGATATCCAGCCATCTTAACCGAACAAGCTTTGACAATAGAGGATTTATTATATGGCCCAAAAATAACTTTTCAATAGCGCTGCGAGCAGTTACTATCCAAATAGAGAGGACTGGGGATGAGTCACCTACAAAACCTCAATTGATGGCAGTCGCTGATTTACGTACAAGGCAAGCATATTGGTTTTTTCTACTTATGGTGTTAAGATCCTTAAATGTACTCGAAAAAAGAAATTCAAAGAAGTGTAAATACGTTAATTTGCGCAATTTGTATAGGTAATAGCATGATTTGTGTAGAGACATTAGGCGTAAATATCACGTTTGATATTTCGAAATTGCTATACGCAATTTCACGAGCCGTTAGGCGAGTGAAATTTGAGACAATTTTGAGATATCATGAGTGGTATTTATGCCAAATGTCCCGTACAAACCATACTATTATTTGTTTATACTACTACCCGCAAAAGGCTTGTAATTTTCACATGTAGGTATTTCAAATTAAGCTGAAATACCACTGCTCTAAGCCAATCAAATTGCAGAAGTTTCTCATGTAGTAGTATGACTCCTGTAAATCATGTTATTTAAAGGCTCGGGAAATTATTAGGATTTGGACAAAACGCGCGTGAAATTATTCCCCAATTTCACGAGTAAACCATTTGATTACCTATATTAATTTGTAATTTCACATGTGAAATTACAAAATTGCCATGGCAACCCTTCCGCACGTCTCAGTGTCAAGATGGCGACGAAGTTTTAAAATGCCGTGAATGAAGATGTCAGGGCACAAAAAGACGCTTTAGAAAACCTCAACACACAAGAGAACATTAAGAACGATTCTATCAGGTATTTTGCCGAAAAGGTCTGAAAAATTCTGAACTTTATAAGCCAAATTTAAGGTCTAAACATGTGAGAGAGTGGAGTTCTCGATCGATACGATCCAGGATAAACATGTCAAAAATCCAAGATTGCTAACGTAATTCGTCACCCATGATATTAATAGGTAATCAAAAGGTATACTCGTGAAATTAAATTATTAGGATTTGGACAAAACGCGCGTGAAATTATTCCCTAATTTCACTCGTCACCATTTGATTACACATACGAATCCTTCTTGATGTGCTCTTTCGTGTGCTCAGGTTATTTCAGGCGTCTTTTTATTATATGGAGGAGAGTGTTTTACTGGGAACTAAACCACTCGTAGATTCCATACGCCACTTCATCCGGGACCCGAGTAGCGTATTTTCCGTATGTCACCTTTGTGAGTGTCGTATCGTTCAATGACGTCACGATTCCCGCCTTTTGCTTTTGTTGAATTGGTTTCTCCATATAACAAAAAGAACATTACACGTTGGCTCGAAGATATGAATTTTGTGTTCTCGTGGCAAGAACAATATCTCACTAGTGAGATATTGTTCTTGCCACTCGAACATAAAATTCATATCTTCTCGCCACCGTGTAATATCCTATATTTATGCCCTTGCATCTTCGTTCATGACATTTTGAAACTTTATCGCCATCTTGACACTGAGACGTACGGAAGGTTGCCATGGCAATTTTGTAATTTCACATGTGAATTTACAAATTATCGCTGAAATTTCGCGCCAAAATTAAGGAGCAATTCGTCACCTATGATATTAGGTTATCTATCCGTGAAATTTGGTAATTAAAAGACCCCTCGTCCGTCCACCCGTCCGTCCGCAACACATGGCAACCAATGTGAAATTTCACACTTTCTAGCTAGTGTGGGAGCCTGCAACCTGATATTGCACATTCATGTTGTGGTCAATTGACAGCTGTCAAAAATGGATATCCACTGACTAGTATCACATGACCGTATCGTTGAATCAGGTGTCGAGATCTCGAGGTTGCGTGCTTTTTGAAGTTATCCGCTGAGTCTACTAGTTTTCAACTGAACGCAGGCACAAATCCAAGTGATTTCTTTGCAATGGTTTCAAGTTAATTGTTTGAAGTAAATAATAACTTTGTTAAACGGGAGCTTCGCCTGTAGCCATAGCTAAATCTATATATTATGTACTAATATAGGATACAAGGGGTTCTTGTTCAACCGCGGTTGTACCTGGCTTGCAGAAATAAAGCTCCACTCTCATTGACGGCCATACATTCCAACTCAAAGGTTGAAAACGGACATAACGAGCCAAAAATCTTCGTTTCAGCTTGTGATAAACAACCGTGTTACTGTCGCTGTTTCCATCTAGTCTCTGAGCAAACTAAAGCAACGAAATCACCATCTGTTAACCAGACCTTGCTAACCAATAATTAATGACAACAATTAGTATTAAATCAATGGATAATTAGTGCGTGGCAGGCTACCCTCTTCTTCAAAAACGCATCTTTGTGTCGCAGTGAGTCTGGGGAGATGGAAAAAAAGAAAGTGCGCGATTTTGTTCACATTTAGCGTGTTCAGAACGGAAATCCCATTATTTTACCCACAAATGTATCGTCTAGGTTTGTGCTAGAAGTATCCATATTTAAAAAAAAATGCCATGATGCTGCAGTGGGATATTGTCTTCTTTAGGGGTCAAAAAAAGTCTAAACCAAGCCCTGATGAAATGAGGGAGTTGAAGAATAGGGGCGAGGGCTCTTTATTTGGAATGTACCTTAAATCTCACAGGAGAGTTCCGGTAGCTATAAAGCAGCTTGTACACGGTTACCCATTCTTCAGCGTCACCGCTTCCTTGCGTTCCTACACGATTTACAATGTTCCCCATGATACTAAGATCGACCTCAAGCCATTGCTCAGCATCTTTAATACCAGCTGACCATGCCCTCTGAGAGAATAATCTGCCATGTTTTGCTGAGTGATGAGCATTGCGTTCTGAAGAGGCACTCATTTTTCCGTCCGCAATTGCCTTGTTTTCTAATCCAAAAGCTTGACAATCTAATCGTTTATCAAATCAAGAAAAATATGTCATTAACACGTCCGGGAGGAATACTATACAACATGCGATAAACTATGTTAAAAGAAACTTTGAAATTTCAGACAGCCAGGAAGAAGTGCATCCGTCGATCTTTAGGGATTTGATAGATTGCTACAGCATATTTTTGGCATTTCGTCATTACCTGCATGATTTTCATGTATATTTTCCGAAGAAAGCAATGCTAGCAAAATTTGCATTTTTGTCTAGTTTAGCAGCACAATGCAACCATTTTTTTACGCGAGGTGTCACGAGCAAATTTGAGAAACTGAATCAATTTTTTGTCTGCTTATTGTCGCATTCATGGAAACTGGGTCCCACAGAGAGCGACCTTAGCCTGACTGGGGGACTGCGTATAACTGACTAGCCCGGTTACCCAAGATGGCATCCATGTGCTCCTTTTTGTTTGATTTTTTTTAGTTTCCAGAGAATGAATTATGCACTCTTAAAGTTTCTAGATATGAATTGAATGATATGTTTGCCATTGACTTGTTTTTTGCATTGTGTTGAGGTATTTTTACCAAATTTGAAATAAAAAGTAGAAGCATAATTTCAGCATATTTGCTAAAATCAGCATAATCTAGAAAAAGTAGCATAATTACTGGCATAATTTTGAGAAATATACGAGCACTGCTAGTAACATATTATGCTACTTTTTCTAGCATAAACTATCAAAGCCTATCTATCCTTCGTCTGTGGGCAACAGATCTGTTTTATTTATTTATTTATTTATTTATTTGCCAAATAATAATGAAAATAACAAAAAAAGAGAAGTGACGAGAAAACCTAAGAAACTACGGGAAGCTTAGAGATTGGGCCTCCTCGAACTACGGGCTATAGCTGTTTACATCAGGTGAAGCAAGAGATGGCGTAAAGTCTGAGGTGGAAAACATTTCAGACTGTTTTTCACATTTACGTATGAATTCAATCCTTAGTATTTACTTAAGTAAGAAGGGGCTCGAGGCTTGATAACTTCGTTATCAAGTGAATTAAAAAAATTTTTTCTTTGAAAAAAAGGAGAAAACTTCTTAGTGTTTTTTTTTTTCGACAATGGGGTAGACAATAGGCCTAGGAGTTTCATGGCTTTTAAGAGTGGAATTGATTACTTTCGGAGAAATTGTTATAAAACATTGGAGGCAAGACTGAATTTTTGCAGGTATATACAAATTGCCCTAGTTGAAGCAAATTTATATCATTAAATTTTAGTATACCGAGTTCCTTAACAATGGGGTCTGTATAAGCATTGAAATAATGTGTTTTATTTGTGATTTTAATTGTGCGCTTTTGCAGAATTATGAGACGGCAGAGATAATTCCTTTACTGGAAAGATATGTTCATTATCAATACTTATTTAAATACCACAATCCGTACGTTTTTTACGTGGTTTGAAGACTACGAATTTAGTCTTTTTTGATTTAGTTTGCTTATCTCCAAATTTAACATATCTAAAAGATAGCCCGGATCTTCATGTGACAAAAATAAATTAACGTCGTTGGCGAAATTTAATGTACTAGAAGCACTGATAAAGTCGTTTAATAATGTTGACTAAGAAAAAAAAGAGGTTCGGAGATAGAACCCTGAGGGACCCCACAAGGGACTTAATTTTTTAACGAACGATGGCCATTAAATTGAACATATTGCATTCTGTATGAAAAGTAACTTACCCACTCCAGCGCTAAGCCACGAATTCCGTAATGTTCGAGTTTATCGAAACGAACGGTACTATCTGGTCTATCTACGGTGTCGAAGGTCAAGCAAAACAGCGATGGCAAATACGCCCTTCAACGGCGCAACCCCCCCCCCCCTCCCCACCACCATATAAACGTCTGTAAATTTCTGTGCCTTTGCAGAGCTATATCTTCGTTACTTTTCAACAAATCACTTTCAAACTTGGCAACTTTCTTTCTTTCAAAAGTTGAAGAAACCGTGGAAGTATCTAAAAACGTCGGTCAAAGGCCGTGAAGATCTTATCATACAAGTCGATCAGTGTAACTACAAATTGAAATCTAATAAGAATAGTATTTTTCTCCAGTGCTGCTAAATATGTTTTTATTTTTAAATATTGTTCTATCTTTTTATCTAGAAATGAAATATTACAAATTCTCTCAAAAAAAGGTACCGAAAATATTAGCAATTACGATTGGCCTTTTAAACTTTCATCAGGGAAACAGAATTTTTGCTTTGTGAAAATTGGTGGACACTTGTTCATATTCATTAAACCCCATCGTAAGCCTCCCTGTGGGTGCCTGCAGACGTCGTTTTCGTCGCTCGTTTTCCATCAAATCGTCGGTTTTTCACCGAAAACGTCGCATGTCAAGAATGGGCTACGAGCAGGCCGAAGCAGCCACGACGACAACGACGAAAACGAGAAAATAACAAAAGCAACAGGTTTAATAAGCAAAGCTAAAGACTTCGAAAGTACAGTATATTGAGTTTTAGCAGATTTCTTTTCCCTCATCGCACGACTGACGTTGATCGAAATTGCAATGTGATCGTCGTTTCATCAGCAGGGAATTTAAACGAATCTGTTGGCCCCACCGATGGGCGGCATATTTGCAGCTTTCTCAAGAAAAAAAGACAAATGGCCGACAAATACCTGGCGGGCTAGGAACACTTAGAATTGACTGAGCCCTATCAAAGAACTATTCAGGTAGTGAAACAAAACTTACCTTTAAGATAATAAACCACATTGGAATTGCTTCCTCCTCGCTTTTCCGTGCAGTAGTCATTTGAATCAGGATGGCCACCTTGGTAAATTTTCCACGCCACAGAAGCTAACAATGAGAACAAGTACATAGTGAAAAGCAATTCGTTGATTTACGGGGAAAAGTCAAGGAAATTTTCATGATAAACTGGCACCTATAATATTAAAAACTGGAAATTAACCCACAACACCACGCGTGCTCTGTAAAAGCAGGGGAAACCGCTTGGGAGGAGGTAGATCAGGGGCGGATCTAGGGGGAGGGTGCAGGGGGTGCGCACCCCCCTCTCCCCTGAGATGACCTGCGGTTTTCTAATACAACTGGTATTCTGCAAAAAGAAACTATGTGGTTTATTGGTGTTGAAGTAGAGCAAGAGACGAGTGCACCCCCTCCTAAAAAAAATCCTGGATCCGCCCCTGTAGATCACTGAATAACAAGTAACAACATACCTGCGGAACAGCCATTATCACCATCAAGCGCAAAATATTTATGCCCCAGTTTCCAACAACACCAAGCACATCTTTCAAAAGCCTCTCTCCGCTGCAAACTTGTATTACTTAAGAGCCAGCAGTTTGAATTTTCTATGGATTCCATCGCCGGCTGTCTATTTTTTCTTGAATCTGTGTACTCAGTGCTAAAACAGCCAAACTTTTCGATCGTTAGGAATCCTGGCTGACTACCATCTGTTAAACAGCGAATATATAAAAACGGAAATCACCTTTAAAGTAATGGTGATAAGAGAATAAGAAAATAAGCCTACAAGTGCGACGCACCTGCACAAATTGTTACGCTTATCAATATGTATTGCTTTTTTGACGTTCGCGTTGCTCTCTCTGTTGTACCATTTTCCCCTTATTTTCCAAGGGAATACCCGATAGACGATGTTGTCCGTTTTCACCTGTTAGGGACCGCAAGATCCGACAATGGCGACGGCAAAGAGAACGTCAAGAGAGATATATTTTGATACGCAAGAAAAAAACTTTGCACGTAGACAGGAGCACATGATTGACGTAGGCTACATTTGACGAAGTGAGTTGAAACAATCACGGTGAAGTCGATGAAAGCATTAGTTTAAGCGACGTTTTCGCTGCTGCCGCCTTCCTCGAATCTTGAGTTCCCTATTACCTCACGCTTGACCTAGCCTGTTTAAACTAACACGTTCATGAAAAATCGCCGGTTGTTAGTCCCTAGCATTTTACATAAGCTTTGTTTTCAATTTCTACAGGTTACTACAGTCGTCCCAAAAGAAATTGACGACAGCGCTTTTTCAAAAACTTTTATTGTTGAGGGGGTGGGGTGGCAAGTGGCGAATTGGTTTTTACCGATTTAAGGGGTACATGGTAGTCTGTTACACAGGAGCGGTGCGTGGCGACACTAAAAACGGCTGTCTAGCAGACTATGAGGTACATGGCGGCAAGAGAAAGGTATTGATATGGCTCAGTCTCCGAGCGAAAGAGAATATTTTGTAAAGAACCTATAACACATGTCTTACCGCATCTTTCAAAATCAAAACGATTCATAATGTCGTTCAACACATCATTTGAACTTCTTTCCCCTTTTGGTAAGGTCCAGTCAATGACCTCATCCGCAGTCCTGTCAAGTACACCTCGATGAGCGTTTGCCTCTTTCCCCAAAGCCACAGCAATCACGTAGGTATTAAGAGGCTAAGCAGGAACGAAAAGAATGGAATAGTTAGGCCTGTTTCAAACGTCGTGCTACTGCCGTGCTAAGCTGGCTCGACTGTAGCCCGAATGCAGCACGACACTAGCACTACTTAGTTTCAGACGTCAAACTTAATTCAGTCGAATCGAACGGCTGTTACCGAAAACAAAACACAAAAATAAAGACACGGTTTAGGAAACTTTTAAATATATTCTAATGTATTTTATAATTTATGAATTGAGTTCTGCACGGCGGTAGCACGACGTTTGAAACGGGTCTTAGTCTTTATTGTCACAAACCCAAGCGAAAACCGCAACACTATTCTATATTTCATTCAGCGTTCCCACTTGGTGCCGGGTGACCTAGTATTCTAGAGTAAGGTGCTTACTGGGCATTAATATGAACACACCGTTATTTAAAATACCTGAGCTAGAATTCGGGCACAAGAGAGATCTTGTACTTAGGGACATAAGAGGACACCGGGTCCCTTTGCGCACACATTATTTGTTAAATTGGCGGTACTCCACTGCTTTGTATACCTTGTTTAAACAACAGAAAACATTTTCCGTGTTTGCATAGCCTGATATAAACACGAGAGGGTTCGGGAGAATTCGAGACAGTTACGCAAACCCGAGATGAAGTCGAAGGTTTGCATAACTGTCGAGAATTATCCCAACGCCTCGAGTGTTTATATCAGGCTGTGCAAACACAGGGAAAAAGTTTTCTATTGCTTTTATAAAATAACTTTCCCGAGAAAAAACGCAAAACGGCACTGATTAAAAGAGAAATACTTACCAGTTGCAAAGTCTTGTCCAAGAAGTCTTGCATGCGTAATCAGTTCTTGTTTTGCAAAAAGATGCTTTCCAAAATACCGATTTTTCTCGCTTAAAATGTCAGCTTAAGCGAAGAAAAATTAACACACCTTCTTTGTAACTATTTTCCAAGTTTCAGATGAACGAAGGAATGGGTAAATAAAGTAAACTTGTTGAGTTTTGAACTCGAAAACTTTTTCAAATTCGTGCTTGCGTGATTAGCGCGCGAAAAGCAAAACATCTTGACGCCACAACCATGTTTACATACTCTCATGCAAACACTCCTTCATTCAGAGCGCGCGTACTATCTTAGTTATTTTATAAATATTTATAACTTACCGCCACGCTGGCAAAATGTATCTATATCGTGAATAATTCAGTCTTTTAGTGTTATTATGTATTCGCGGGATGTGATCATGTTTTCTTTTTAAAAAGGTGAAGTATTTCTCGAACCCTCAATTTCTCGAAATATACCGTAATTTTAACCAACTCTAATCTCCTTTAGTTCCCCAGTCAAACTGATGAAACAGGGGTATTTTTATCCCCGGTCTTCTAGTTAAACATATCAGAGACCTTTAGATTCGAGGACTAGAACGACTATGACTTCGATATTTGAGTTCACGTTTTTTCGTGTATTTTTCTTTCTCAAAAATAGACACCTAGGAAAATTAGCACTGTTATCTTTATTAACTCTCCCGATCGCAAAATGATAAAACTTCTTTGCATTTGATAACCTGTTTTTGCCTCTTTTTGTTTCTTTGACATTCTCGCAAAAACTCGGAGTAGAATGACGACGGCTATCACGTTTTCCCGCCGCGCGCGCACTGTACTGATAAAATCTCGTTCTCTTAGTCATTCTCGTCTTAAGAACTAGGAGTCTATATTTCTAAGACCTTGAGTGTTGGCCAAGAATTTACTCCTATTAGTGAAGTAAGTTACCTTTGACTGTAATACTTCATCCAGTGCAGTTTCGTTATGTGTTTTGCCGTCTGTGATAAGTATCACAATATTGGGAACGCCCTGTCTGTCCTGTTTCCCTTCTGTGGCATACGCTTGGAAAGTCAGGTTCAGTGCGATGTGAAGATTAGTTATGTTATGTAACTCTGTCATAGCTTCAATCTCTTTCTTGGTAGCGTATCCATTGCCTAGGGTCCAACGCCTAAAGCTTGCTTTATCGTCATTTCTTAATACAGTTGCGTCTTGTCCAAATGGTATCACAAGGAGTCGAGTTTGAGTCGGTGAGACATAAAACCTAACAAACACCATCAATTCTTTAAGAAAATTAACGCATTCACTGGAAAAAACTTCTTTCTCTTGTAACCACTGCCCCGAATAAACACCACACACTTAAGAGCAACAAGAGATATTTGTAGGCTCTGCGCTCTAAACTGAGGAATTTACTTCACTGCAAGACGTGTCAAGAAAGAGAGTATGCCTCTTTCATGCTCTCTTAGTGTACTGCAGATATATGCTTTTTCAAAGATGTATTCTTAAATCTCTTTCTCCAGCAGGGAAGTTACTCTATTTTTAAGGAAGAAAGGGTTTGATCCAGCAGAAATAAAAAGAGTAGCAAGGGTAACGCAATGCAACAGAAAAGCGACTAGTTTATAATTTTAAAAACTTTAGGACAAGAGGTCCCGAGACAAAGCAAAGAGAGACAAATTTATATTGTGCGCTTGCTTCAGTTTACCAGATCCTAGTTTCTAATGTAACGGATTACATTATTCTTTTTCTTTACATTATAACCTCTCCTTACGGACACCTCTCTATTACGGACAGTTTGTTTGGTCCCAGAAATGCCAAAAATCATACATTCCCTACCTCTATAAATCGGACACCTCTGTAAAGCAGACACTTGGTTCTGTCCCTTTGGTGTCCGTATTAAAGAGGTTTGACTGTATTAGATATATGCCATGTGGACTTTTATTTGAGTGTCAATGTATTTAGCACGAAAGTACTAATTGGGGACACTATATTTTACGTCTCCAACTGGAGACGGGACCGCCATTTTACGTGGTCATCCGAGCCACGCGAAGGTGTAGCCTGTTTCAGTGAAAAGGGAGTACCTTCATTTTTCGGTTATTTTAAGACCCTGAGTATTGGTCTGGCCCCAGGAATCGAACCCGCGACCTCCCGCTCTGCAGTCAAGTCAACACGCTCTACCGACTGAGCTAACACTGCCGCGGTTAACGGCAGTAACCCTGCTGACATTGTGGCTGGCTCCTCCTAAAAAGATCTACAATTATAGCATAGGATTTAATAGGGCCGAAACTAATTGTGATTGATCACATTTTAGGCATCCTATGGATACGAAAGTTAGAGATTTGGGGGAGGAACATTCGTCTATCGTCTGACCCCTTTCAATTAGACTGTTCAAGATGGAAAGCCAATATATATAAATACATAAAGCTGAAGCTTAGGGCAAGAAGGGCTCATATCGTTCTCTCTTGTTTAGATTTGTGCATGAGGAAATATCTGTTTAAATAAAGCGCCGTTATACTGTGTATGGTGGGTGCCTTTAAAAATGTCTGAATCATGTACCGGGAGCAGGAGTCGTAAAGGCTGATAGTGAACAGAGTATAGAGGTTTAATAAAAAAAACAAGATTTCATCTTGGTCTAAACCTAGTTACCGCGATACCTGTCAGTGAGGTCTGCTGCAAGAATCTTCATTTTGTTGAACAGGCTGGGGCCAATGCTTTCGGTTCGATCCAAGATCATTGTTAGATCCAACTTATCACAAGGAAAGGGAGGTACTGAAAAAAGAAACCAGACAAGAAATGATATTCTTTCTAACCACGTGAGCTTCAATAACCGCTCGAAGAACGCCTTCACTTTTATTTATGTACATGCACTCCGACCATTCAGAGTTCAGATCTTTTGAAAAAAATGGGATTTAATCTTTCAGTCGCACTTTTCTCCCCGTTAATTCGGTTTTGTTCAACACGATTCCACGACAGTTTTCTAATTCTCGAGGGTAAAATCTCGTGTCCAGTGCAGCTCTAAGGTGCCCAGCCGGTTATTCATAGTCACAAAAAAAGGACGTTGTAGTCAATCTCCCTTAATACGAACTCTGAAGGGGTGTCCGTATTAAAGCCTAATATTAAGCGAGTTCGATTTAGAGAAAATATAAGGGCTTTCTTTCCCCAGGGACAAAGCAAACTGTCCGTAATAATGACGTGTCGGTATTAAGGGGTGTTCGTAAAGCGAGGTGCTACTGTATTTATGCATGGTTATTCGGTTAGCTGAGCTGTCTGCTTTCTTTAACCGTCGGTTTTGCCCAATCCTGTCATTTCGGTTTGCAGGCCACCAGGCCACAGTATCAGTCCCTCTCCATTACTTTATGAAAGGGTGTGTCACAAAGCGCTGTTTAGAGGGAAACATCATCTTTAGCTGGCTATTTACCCACCTTATTGGAACATATTTTCGCAGGTCTTTAATTTCGCTTCTTTGCGCTTGTAAAAAAATCGCGAAATTAAAGACCCGCAAATATAAAAATCTGCGCGAAATTTAATAACCCCCACAAAAAATTTAAATCATAAAAGAAAAAAAGGATTAACAAGTAATAACAGCAACATGTACAGGATCATGGAGGATATGTATCGACAAATACACAAGTTCAATTTTGTATCTTCTTTTGTGAAATGACGTTAACAAAAAATGGTTAACACATACACTAAAAATGTAATTTTCAAATATGGGTGTTACGCCGCAAAATGTAACAATTGACGCAAAATGTGACATTAACGCGAAGTGTAACAAGTTTTTGACGTAAAATAAAACAATAAAACATGAAATGTAACAACGTAAAATGTTACAGCCTCGATAAAACTGAGAGACTTGGACATAGGCTCTGAATTGTCTGGTTGCCGTGTAACAACAACAGATTGTTTGCTGGTAAGATTTTCGAAATCAGTTACTTACAAAACAATCCTAAAGCAGACATAGCGTTGCAAGTCACTTGGTCAATAACAGCTAAGATGTTATTGAAGTAAACTTGTATTTCACTCGTCACACTATATCTTTGTTAGATTGCGTAACAAATATCCTTAACTGATAAGGATTTGCTAAAAAAAAAATAGAAATATGAGCAAATGGGTGCTTGTATGTTCCTCGTCTTTTAAGTAGGACCGATCGTAGAAAACCATTGCCAATACTGCAGTTGCGTGAACTAAATGAAGTAACCGATATATAGGATATATAGATGATATTACACGGTGGCGCGAAGATATTAATTTTATTTTCGAATTGCAAAACAATATTTTACGAACGAGCATAGCGAGTGGGTAAAATATTATTCATATCTTCAAGCCACCGTGTAATGCTCTTTTTATTATATAGACAAAAAGACATCGATAAAATAATAGAGGGAAATGACCGAGATTAATTACGTCATCGATAAACTCACGTGTGAGATTATGGAAAATAAACCACTTGGGTCCCGGATGTAGTTTTTATGAATTTTACGAGTGGTATATTTTCCAGTGAATCACTCGTGTCTATATAATAAATAGATATATAATACGTAGATATATAGCCGATATATAATAGGTAGAAAACGTTAAAAAAATCATGGCATTAAAAGGAAAGTGCAGCGGAGCGGTCTGATCCGACTGTGTGAGATAATCGATCATGGTTTGGTATGAAATCTCTCATATTTTCTGAACGTACGGTAAAAAATGATCCTATCTTGTCGACTACGTTGAAAATTTTGTTGTGAAAGGTACCCTTCGCTCAGCTCTTAACTTTCAACTTGCATTCATATAGTTGTTACAAGCACTCCATTATTCACATTTCTAACATTTCTAATATTCTTTAGCAAATCCTCATCAGCTGACGATACTTTTCACACGTTATATTTTATACCGTTGGCGTTGTTGTTATTGGCCAATCTAATTTCCCGAGGTCACATGACTTGTAACTCGTATGCCCGCTTTACGACTTTTTTGTAAGTTTATTTGCCATGACTTTACCCTGGGTGCCAGAGGGTTTTTTTCCTGTTGTTTGCGGCGAAAATTGAGCGGCGAAAACAACGGGAAAAAAAGGCCTCTGGCACCCAGGGTACCATGGCTTAGGTCCAAGTCTCTCAGTTCTTCCAAGGCTGTCACATCTTTCGACGTTACATTTCCCTTTTTAAAGTATTGTTTCATTTTGCGTTAAAAACGTGTTACATTTCGCATAAAAAAGTTGTTACATTTTGCGGCGGAACATATGGGTTTTGCTTGTTCCAATTTCAAAACTATATTTACTTTTTTAAATATGCGTTTTGCTCTTAAGTAATCATGACTTACCGGTTAAAGCAGCTTTTTCTATCCAAAATGCCAGTGGCAAAAGCAGAATGCACAAAACCTTCATTTCAATTGCTTGCTATAAAACAGAATCAAATGCACGTCTTCTATCTATCAGTGTCTCATTTACATGCCGGCGAGACTTCTAAAGCGAATGTTTTAAGAGTTGAGCGGGCGGTCACTGAGCTAAACTATGGGCCATCTCTGATGAGTCCCGTAGTAGAGAAGGAAAATACCGTAATGATTCGATTAAGCGCCCTCTTTGTAAACGCCCCACCTCGACTGTGTTTTTGTTCATGCGCCCCTATTCTCATAAGAGCCCCTATTGCGTAACCACTCTCACTCCAATAAGCCCGTATATCAATAAGAGCCCCTATTCTTTTTCAGTGATAGACCTGTTAGAATACATTCACATTGAGATCAAGTAGTACTGAAAGTTATAAGCAAATCAAGCGACAATCATCCCTTTGACGGAATTACGTACCGCATCGGACGTAGAAGATGTAGCATCCGAAAGTTTTGCTATCGACATTGAACAGACTGGTGACTTGATTGACTGGCGAATTTAGTAAATATCTATTGTATGTATTTTTTGCTTTGACCGTTTTCCTTTTATTATCTCTTTTTACTGAAAATAAATATCAAAGCGTGTGTTTCCCACATTCGGCTGTTTCTCAAGAAGAGGAATAAGCTCCCTTCCTTGAAGTCAGCTGAAGTATCTTAAGTAAATAAGCGCCAAGAGTGTCTGCGCTAAGAGCGAAAAATCAAATCATTACGGTATGTATGTCGGCCTAATGATGATACCCAAAGTTTTCCAGGCTTTACTGCGCTTTTCACAAACATGCGAATTCTGAAGTTCAAAAGCCAACTGACGATTGCGTTTTTCGCTGCCGTCAATCATCTTAACGGACCTCTTAGGAAACAAAACTTTACTTTAACGGGTTCAAAAGGTCGAGGTTTGTGATTTGTGGTTGTTGGATTTCGATCCGTTTTGTGTGTTTCTGTGCTTCCAGGTTCGTTGCTTGTGATCGTAATTATGATTGACGGCAGCGAAAAACGCAATTGTGAAGGCGGCTTTTGAACTTTAGAGTTCGCATGTTTGTGAAAAGCGCAGTAATACGAATGAGTTAGTTTATGGAAAGGTGAGGGGTTTTTTTAATTAAAAATTCTTTTAACAGTGATTGAGGCAGATTTTAATCCTGGAAAAGCACCTCAACCTCTTTTTCCTGTCTCTTGGACCACATTTACTCGGGAAACAATAGCTTCTCATGTAGGATACTCTGCTGAGCAGAAAAATTTCATCGAACCTCAGTCAGCTTCGTAAAAGAAGGATTCAAAGTTTTTTGATGTCTGCCGTCAAATTTATAGGACTCCAGCAATATTACAATTTTGACAGATTATACATCTCTTACACTGAGTCAGAACTAAAAAATCTGTTTGATGTTTTCCCAAGTTTTAAGCACTGTTTTCCGTTAGTTTTCGGGCACTCATTTTTCTGTTAAAGCTGAAATGACTTGTACTTTTTTGTAATAAATGTAATAAACAAAATATATCCTTTTAAACTAAGCGTTCATTTTCTTTAGACACATTTGAGCAGAGTTAACAGTGAAAGCGTATAACAGTGACAACAGTTAGTAATATAAAAGGTAATTGAACTCAAGGTAGATTAAGCTACAAAAACTTACTGTTTGTGATCTCGTTTCATGTATACTTGGACTGTACGTTTTTCTTCGAGGTAATTGCTTATAAACCGTAAATTTTAAAAGCAACGCAGACTTGCTAAAAACGGACCCATCGTTTTCACGTAATTTGTGCTCGTTTCAAAGGACATCCAAAGGTCGAATTACGTGAGATTTCACTTTTAACGCCGAACAGTATAGCAATTTAAGGGGTTTCAACAGAACTGTTGTAAAGTGTTTTAAAATAGAAATTTATATCGCAATTAAATTACATTGTTAAGCTATTTATTTCCTTAAGACAGAACTCCGACTCACGGCGCCGTTCAGCGAAACTGCAGTCGATCGTCTCATATGATGACGCGCGTTTCGCTAAACAAAAAGAAGCTATAGGAACAAATTGCCTGCTTTGACTATTAAATAATTTCCAGACTTAACATACTTACTGCGTATAGTCGGTTTTTTAAAATTCTTCAGATCCCTTCGTGGATCCTTTACTTTTGCCCTGTCTCATTGAAACTAACTCGTTTAGAGTGTGTAAATATTGTCGTGTTGGCGGGAAAAGGATAACTTTTTTCACGAACAACAAACAGCAATTAACACAAAAAAAAGTATAAACGAACCTGAATTTTGCTTTTGATGAATGACAATGCAAAGGAGAACATAGAAATAAAAGGAATTATAGTTATTTGCCTCCTAACCTCTTGAATTAACTAACGAAGTCCATTTCCAAAAATAATGATAATAATAATAATGGTAATAGTTACGGTAATTTTTAATATTATTTTTTCTTTTCAAAAAAAATCGACACTTTTTCAGGCACAAAAACCTCTGATATCGTCGATGCTTTGTTTTTATAACCATGTTTGCTGAAGTTTTTTGTGATTCTGTTTCTATATAATACGTGTGAAAATAAAAATATTTAACAAAAAGCCATTGGGATCCATTGGCGACTGTTCCGCCCGGATCAAAAAGCGCTTTCATTTTTATTTGCAAAAAGGGGCTGTTGTTGTTGTTTGAAGCAGTGGGTTTGACTGAAATTATAGTTATTTTGCCATATTTATTACACCATATCGAGTTAAAACGCTTACGTCACCTATTTAACAAATTCTTACGATTCAGTTTCTGTATTTATCAGTGGAGTGCATCCGATCTACTTTGATTTTTAGTGCAGTTCCACACGCGTACGTCAGTCAGGCTTTCCTTATGAACTCTATTTACTCCTAAGGAAGCAGAGAATAAATTCTTTGGCGATTGCCAGCTGGCAGCGAAAAAAAACACCGCATTTTTTTTAACGAATCCTCCTTTTTTGACCCTTTTTTCGCCAACATGTACATAGCTAAATATGAGGTTTGCGACATTAAGGGCATATTAATTTTTCTGCTTATTGGAAGAAACCATCTTACTCTCTTTCTATTTTCCTTTACGTTTCTTTTTTTATATCTAGAGATGCTTCCCAATTTTTTGTCTTTCTTTTCTATGGCATTGTAGGCAGTGACTAACTTTTCAGAAGAGAAGGAAAGTAACATGGAATGAGTAGCAGGCATAGCCAGTTTGGCAGTAGATTGTTCCCAAAAATATTCGTAGAATTTTTTAATGTGGTTTTACTCTTGCAGGATTGGTCAGAATTTACAAAATAAGGTTCTTGTGCCATTTTTTGTGTTTTACTCTTGAAATTCGAAACGAAAGACGGATATAATTGACAAATTAAATCATTCGTGTTAAAATCGGGATTATAGTGGACTATACTTGGATCGTTTTTCCTTTTCATGAGGATCTCTTATTTATTATTATTTTTTTAATTTTCCCTCAGTAATCGGGGAAGTCTTATTTCATTAGCTTATGCCGCTGAGGTACATACATTTAAATGAATTGTTACGTCAGTTTGAAGGACGTTAAAGTAAAGCTGGAAACTTTCCCGGCGCTGGACAGACAGCACCACCACAAACCCTGATTGGGCCAGACTGTTTTATGTTTCATTGTTCGACTGCTCGTACGATTTTTCAGACTTTACAGGTCAATAATCTTTCCTTTTTCTCCCCTTGATTTTTAGGCTACAAAGTTTAACATCGCTCAGATTTAAACAATCATGTTATCGAAATACAATAGTGCATGCTAATTAGTCTCTGTTTTTCCTTTCGCTCCTATAACATTAAACGAAAGCATAAGTAACATCATGAAGTAAATCAATGTTCAAACGATTTTAACAATCCCTGGATAACTAGTATAAAATAACATTTTATCTTAGCCAATTTGTCTGTCCTTTTTAATTTTGACTAAAGCCGAATGCCGTCAATTCTAATTTAATAGGCTTGTTCAGTTTGAATGCCCTTTCTTTAATTGGCAGTCTATTTAAGTTTTGCTCTGAATATCCTCCAAGACATTAGACTAGACTGCCAAGCGTCCTTTAAAAGTGTGATTTTGTTTCTCTGTATTCATATAGTTATAACATTTGTGATAAATTTCGCACTCTAAAAAGGAATGATTTTAATTCTTTCCTAGGCGGGTATCCGAAAATAGTTCTTTTAAGAAATATTTTAATCGTAAGGCAAGCTTTTCACTGGGTCTTATCTTTTTCAAAGTCTTCAAAGCGCGCCCCTTTGTGAGGGATAAATGAAGGAACTTATGTATGGAAAATTCAGCGTTTCACGATTCTATGGGCTATATAATTGAAGGGAATTGACTGTGTGAGTGATTTTGGTATGTACAGTGAATGATATTGGGCATCAAACTCTGAGAAATTTGTGGCAACATAATTCAATTCATAATTCATGCAAGGCTTTAAAACAAAAGTAATAAAACGACCGTCCTTCTCCAAGTAAAATCTGGGTTTTGCTTCAGCAACAGCCCGGCACTGGATCTACAAGAAAAATTTAGAAAACCCGGCTTTTTTTTTTTTTTGTATAGATGCCACAGGATACCCACACAGGAGATTGAGGATTCTCCCTCCCCCGACACGTATATTACTGATTTATTCAAGGTTTAAGCACAATGGCAGAGATGTTGTCAAACGATTTGCAAAGAAGGTACACTTTTATTCATGAATTGGCTTTTCAAGTGTTGCGAACTTGCTGTTGTTATGGTACATATATTTCTTCCAAAACACCAAAATCTTCACGCCACATTGCCCACGTGTAGCCGCACCCTCTACCCCCGACAAGGGAAAAACGGAGGGGAGGGTCTCAAGTTGTTTCTATAGTAATACCGCTGGTTAAAAATACAATAGTCTCAAACGAAAAGGCCGAAGGTAAAGCAACTAAGCGAAGTACCAAGGGAAGGATCCGAGATTTGGGCAAATCTGGCGGGTGTTTTTTCCACATCAGCACAAAATGTCTCTTTTTGCGTGTACGAACTGTAACGGCCGTCATCCATTTGATCAACTTTCCAAGGGTGATCAACTTTGTAAGGTAAATGATGTATTACGAACGTTTTGGCGATTGGAGCAAAAATTCTTGCCCATATACGAATTACACGCATTATTTGGAACAGATTGGATTACATACTTTTCTGGTGTAACTTTTGCAGAAAAATATTACCTTGTGCTCCTTTTCTACATGTGGTCATAAACAGCTGAAAAAAGTTGTTGTTACATCCGTTCATGCACACGCAGGGTATTTTGAATTCAGTTTTATTGGCCAGGAGATTTGAAAAGTACGGTAGTCTCGTGAAATTAGAAATAGTTGATGCCAGATTCTTTACAGTTGATGGTAGGCGTACATTGTACTAAGTCCGCCCTAATACCTTGTCTTGAACACCTGAAACGGAACTCTGTGATAGTTTAAAATAAATGAAGTTGCCTGAGGATCCCTAGTACTGCCCGGCATCCTTGTATTTCAACACGTATTGGGGGTCCATCAAGTGAGAGCTGACTAAATTGCATTCTTGGGCTTTTGACCACAGTGAGTACGTGCATGAGTGCCTCATTGGAGAGTGGAAAACTTGATAAATAATATTAGTAAATATTATTTGTAATTACTTTCTTTCAGTCTCTTAACTCAAGGGTAATTAAAAAAAAAAAAAAAAAACTTGTGACCAAAACACTCAACAACCATGAACAGCTCAAATGTTTCAGGAATGCTTATTGTGTTATGAGTACACTCAACTCTCTGTTAACAGACTCCTCTTTGAGATGAAAAATAACGGCCACCTCGAGTTGGTCCCTGCCTTTTCTTTACTCTATAAGATGGACGTCTCTCTAATGTGGAGACATACAGTGGAACCCCGTTAATACGGTCACCAATGGGCCAAAAGGATTTGGCCGTATTAACTTGGTGGTCGTGTTAACGAGGGTTTTTCTACAAGAAAATTTATGGCGGTTTTTGCCAGGCGGCCAAAAAAAGTGGCCGTAATAACAAGGAGACCGAATAAGCGAGGTGGTCATAAGACAGGGTTTCACTGTAGTGTTGGTCCCAAAGGTGTCTGTCTTAGAGGTATTTGATGATTATTACTACTTGCTAGTGTCTAAAGTTGATTTGTTTTCTTATAGGACTGCCGCAAGACTTATCCCTTAGTGACATGTACTTACTGTCGCTTGGAGTTTCATCTGTTAAAGTCAGACATTTTACTTGATGATGAATAAGTCATAAACTTGCTGTTTTATCATTTTTTATGTTTTATTAATTTCCAGTTGACGTAAGACTTGCAGTTCCATGATGTGATTTTTTTCTGCTTCACATATTCTAGGAGTACTGAAAAGGACCCTGTGTGTAAGAAGTGCAGTTATAATCTCAAAATGTTTGGCCAGGTATGAGAATATTGGCCAGTTAGTAGTACTGAGTTGAACCTCCATTAAGCAGGGTACCAGCAAGTGGCTGATTAAGGTGGCTCGACACAGTACATCTTCCATCTTTGAATCTCTTATACCAAAACAAATTGATCTTTATTATAAAAACATTATAACACTTGTATTACACATGGACTAAACTTTATTATGATATTAATTTTTTGGGAGATCAGAGTATAATTATATCATGTGACAGTGACGTCACAATAGTTTAAGCTCTAAATCGAAATACTGCCTTTATCAGCATTTTCTTTGGAAATGCTTTATGCTACGTATTCTTGGGGTGCTTGTCATCTGTTGTGTGAAGTTTCACAAAAATCTATCAGAGGAATTTCGTCAATTCGAGATATCTTTGAATTTCTACAAAAAGGGTATAAATTATGCTTGAACTGAAGCTGGACTTAATGCAGACAAATTTGCAACCTTTTGGAGGTTTCCAAGAAATTTTTATCACTCATTCATTTTGCAAATGACCTTTATACTCTCTACAACTGGCTAAGCGCATGTAGACTTGCACGATTTCTAAAAAACATGAAAACATGTGAATCAGTCAAATGCAATGCTGAGCTCTTTTTGTAATTTCAAAGGTTGAAAACAGCAATTCAACCAAAATTCGTCGATAGTAATTGATCAGTGTGCTATAAAATCCCCGAATTTCGTGTCCATTGAAAACTTTTAAATTGTCAAACGTAGGCGCAAAACTGAGTAAACATTGAAGTGATGTCATAGACCTGGCTAGGTTTTTGCTTTGGGATTTTCTATTGTCTTGAGTTTAGCACAACATCAAATCCCCATCCAGCAGGCAAGAATTTACCGTGCCTGGTTGCCCTCTGAAATCTTTCGGAAATATGGTATTACTGTAGAAAGGGACAAAACACTAGCGAATAGATTACGGAGGAAATGATTGCAGCAATAATGCCCTGTGAACAAAGCAGTCTTTTTTGGCATCCCAAATTTTCTATTTTGGTGAGAAGAAGACAAGAATAATATAATATTGTTTTCCATTAGACTATAGACTGGCTTAGACAATCGCAAAAAAGTTTTTATTGACTTAAAAAATTGAGTCATGAAGTATGATAACCACCAATTTTTGGGAATATGATGGAACATTAATAAAGATTAATATTATCTAGGAATGTTTGTTATTTAAGCAATAGAAAACGTTTTCCGTGTTTGCATAGCCTGATATAAACACGAGAGGGGTTGGGAGAATTCGAGACAGTTATGCAAACCCGAGATGAAGTCGAGGGTTTGCATAACTGTCAAGAATTCTCCCAACGCCTCGAGTGTTATATCACGCTATGCAAACACGGGAAAAAAGTTTTCTATTGCTTTTATCAAATAACTTTCCCGAGAAAAAAACGCAAAACTCTTTGTATGGCACTGATTAAAAGAGAAATTCTTACCAGTCGCAAAATCTTGTCCACGAAGTCTTGCATGCGTAATCAGTTCTTGTTTTGGAAAAAGATGCCCTGCAAAATGCGGATTTTTCTCGCTTAAAATGGTCAGCTTAAGCGAAGAAAAATGTACACACCTTCTTTGTAACGATTTTCCATGTTTCAGCCGACGAAGGAATGGGTAAATAAAGTAAAACTTTTTGAGTTTTGAACTCGAAAACTTTTTCAAATTTGTGCTTGTGTGATTAGCGCGCGCAAAACCAAACAACTTGACGCCACAACCATGTTTACATACTCTCATGCAAACACTCCTCTCGGCCAATCAGAGTGCACGTACTATCTTAGTTATTTTATAAAGCATATTAATACATAAAATAATAATAAAACTCCCAGATATCCAGAACAATGTAGGTAGCACTACATTAATGTTACTGGTTAAATTTGATTTCAGGTTAAAATTTTTTGACCTAGGTCAGTTCTCAATTTCCTTTGTCCCTCAGGGCTTAAAGGAGACAAAGGAAATTGACAATCAATCTAGGTTAAATCAAAATTAGGCAATGTTTTGGTGTGTTTTCCTCTTGTGGTTCATGAAATAAGAGATGAGGCCTCGCAGACGTTGAACTGAGGCTAGACAAGAAAAATAGAGGGTGAGAGGAAGAAGAAAGAGAATAATAATAAAAAAAAAACCACGTACATGTGCATTTCTCCTCCTCCCCCTCCTCTCTCATTTTCTTGCTTCACCTTGTTCAGCTCAAGGAAAATATAGTGTACACACCAAAAAAGGACCTGGTAGGCAAGTTATGGTGACTATTAATACCCTTTAAGTCCCAATAGTGACAAACATCAATTTTGTCCTAACAATATCCATACAATGTCAAGAGATTAGGTTATGAGAATTAACAAAGTGATCACCTAAGAGACAACACTTTCATCTTTTATCAATTTCTCTCAACCCATCCATGAAGGAAATGTATAGAGATCAGTTTGGAGAATTTGTATGTGGATATTGGGGCTTAAAGGGTTAATGGGTATGTCACTTTGTATGTTGCACACAGCTTTATGGCCATAATGTGGAGAGGTTATTTTAGCAGCTGGGATGCACTTGAAAATGAGGTTAACGAAAGCAAGAGTGGATCTATCTGTATAGTTACCGTCTGTTAGGGTACAAAATAATTATGTGCCCGCGGTAACAGGAGTACCCTGGGTGCCAGAGACTTTTCTAGCGCAGTTTGAAATCCGGTTTCTGTCAAGTCTTTATAGTGGCTTCAGCCTATGGCCGAAAAATGTGTCGGCCTTTCGAAAATTCCTGTCCCACGTGAGAAAAACCTCTGGTACCCAGGGTATAATGGGAGGGTTTGACTGCACATAATTATGTAGAGAATGCAGATGACTGTCATGTTTGCATCCTGTGAGTAATTATGATTTACATTAATTTAATTCTTATTATCTCTGTCACCAGCCATCTTGTTGCGAGTACTGTAACATAAGAGCAGCTTTTGATGGAAACAAATGTTCAAGGCAAGTATACATGTACATGTCAACTTTACAGCCTGTGAAAACCCTTTTACCTGCAGCTCATGGTTCCACGTGAGTTTTGTACATTTTGTTATCATTTCTTTGATGTTTAACCCATTCGCTCCTAAGTCGCCCGTAACCGTCCGTGCAGATTTATATCCCGTCTTTAACCACTAGTGTCATCAGTTCTAATGGTCAAGGACAACTTGGTCCGCTAACTTGTGGAGATAGAAAACATCTTTTAAACCATACCAGAATTAGCATAATTCTGTCAAGGACACTGGAGAAAAAGGCAAAAAACCATAAAACATTGACCTGAAAATTTGCATGAAAATGTTTTTTCACTACCCACCTACCTTTTCTTTCATCTAATGCTAAGATCCTAAAAGCTTTCCTAAAACCTTTTCCCACCAAAATGAAGCCTACTAAATGCCCAGCAAAAGAAAAAAATATGAGGCAAAAAAAGCGAAAAGGAGGAGAGGAGAGAAAGCAAAAAGTAAAAGTCAAGACTGCTGTGTCACTTTTAAACCCCCAAACTCGAAATTTTGCTTTCTGCACGTGCCCGAACTTTGCAAGCTAATATTTTGCATCTGGATCAGAAGGCCTTGAACTGTATGACCTGTAAATACATGTAGCTTTATGGTAAGTTTTAGCTCTTTATAGCATGACAGTGACCCGAAAACTGCTCGACCAGCTTCATAACACATTTTTTCAGCAAAATCTCCATGCCAATTGGCGAATGAGTTAAGAGTATTAGAAATGGACATTGCCCAGTTTATTTTGTCTATGTGGTATATCTGTCTGATTTTGTTAAAACGTGGCCACTGGGTTTTCGCCTGGCATCGGGCGCAGCCCAGGTCCAGGCCAGGTGCCCAAAAATGTAGGGGGCTTGACGTCTTGGTCGGTACAGCTGGATAGCCCAGGGACTGCCCTAACAGTGGGTGGGTAGATCAGGCCTTGGTGTCAAAACTAGTGGGGTAGGGAGGGGGCTGTTTTGACACAACCCCTTCAGTAAGCAACAGTGTTCAGTGCAGGCTTTGACTGGCGAGTACCTTGGTCTTAATTTGCCCTAGCCAGCTGAAACAGGCCTCTGCTGAGAATGATTATCACGATAATTGCAGAGCTCAGTGGGAGGTGCAGACAGTCACCCATTGTCCTGGGTGGGGAGGGTCAAAGTCTTGGTACCAAGGACACACTTAGCATAGGACCTTTAGACACTCACTGAAGCCATGTTTTCATAAATCCAGTCAGATATACATGTACGTCTACGTGTATGCTACTTGCAATTGCTTATTCAAGCTCCCCCTTCTTTAGTTTATCCTATTGTCCTTTTAAATTTATGTTAGAAAATACAGTGTTCACCATTAGTTCACAGTTAAGAAAAGCCACTGAAATCTTACCTCTTGATCACTTTTAGATGTTTGAGCTCAGAGAAAAAGTATGGTCCACCAGTTTCATGTGAACAGTGTAAACTTAACTGTGCCTTTGAGAAACCGTTGGAATCAAGAGATAAGGTATTGCTCAGAAAATATGAGGGTTTTTTGGCCATACGTGTACATGTTAGTGTCATAGTTTGTGTTTTGAGTGCTCATTCACAGATTTTTAAAATGATATAGAGGGGTCTTGTGCCTTTGGTCTCATATTAAACAATGTACAAAAGTTTGAAAATTTCCGTCTCCAAGAGAGAAATTATGCCACATGACTTGTATCTCTTTATGGATAACAAGTTTTCTAGTAATAATTACCATTCAATTTCCATTTCTGACATTCTGATCAAATTATTAATAGTGCTCTTTTCAATTCACCAGTTTTAGTCTAAAAAAATGGTGATGCTGGCTCCAGACAAAAAAGGGTTGAAATTATTAACTTGTCACAAGATATTTTGTTTTCTGGAAGGAGGTCAAAGAATTAGTTGAATTGTTTCTTCGAAGGTCCTGAGATAATCCAAATTTACTGCATTTCTAACGTGTTTCAAACAGGGTAGGTTTTGGGAGTACTTGGATTTTTTCTTTTGAGCTGCTTCTGTCACTGACTGATGAAACATCTTTCTCATGTACAGTGTATTCACTGGGCTCAAAATTTACCATCACATGTCTATCATTGTGCATTAACCTAGTTTAAGCTGGCTGAACACAGTGTTTCGGGCAGTCAGCGGTAACTTGCATGATGGCATGTGTTTTAAATTAGACAAACAAACATGGCGGCAAAAAAGGCTTGAAATTATTTATGGCAAAAAGCAATGGTACTCAGTATTCAATCGTTCATGTTGCCATGGAAACTACGAAAATGTCAAATTTTACCTGTCAATCAAAATCTTTCATCAGTTAATTTTTTACTTGCCAAGTTTCAGCTTGTGAGCTTCAACCTTTCTCATGCCATGATTTGGCAAATGACATGCACTCACAAACTGCCAAAACTGTGTTCAGCCACCTTAATGGCCTTAGTTCTATCGAGTCTCCTATAGCTCAGTGTGGTAGAGCAGCTGGACTAGTAACCATAAGGTCAAAGGTTCTACTCTTATTGGGATTAATCGCATTTTTTCTTCCGAGCCGCTTGTGTCAATGAAAAAACCTCTTTCTCATGTTCTAGGTGGATGGTAAAACCCTTTGTCTGCTGTGTACCTTGTCTTACAAGAGAATATTGCACAAAGCAAAAAAAGGAGAGAAAAGGGCCAATAATCATAACCATCACAGAGACAGGTGTGGCTTTTGATTTTAAGCACTGGTCATGAGTGACAAATGTCTGTCGGACTAGATGTCACAGATGAGCCTCTGTATGGGTGTTTCCGACAAAACTGGAGCCACAATGGTCAACATTGATGAAGCGACCATCTTAGAGATTAAAGCAATGATCACATTGCCATTTAAATCAAGTTTGATGTTAGTTGTGTAATGACAGTAAGGAAACGTGCCAAAAAGTGTGCTGCACATTCAGAGATTTGGTTTTGCTTATTTTTTTGTTTATATTGTACATAATGTATGTCATCATTGTGGTTGTGCTGTGCTGGCTAGTAGCTAGCCTTACCACCCAAAACAGTTCTTGACAATTATGCAACAATTTCGAATGAAAAATCAATCTCTGCACATACCATACAGAGGCTCACATATACGCACTCAGTTGTGGTCAGTGTTATTGGTTTGGGGCTATGAGAGTTTGGTAAAGTAAAGTTTTTAAAAAAATAAAATAGATGAACTCTTTGAAGAAGCAGTGTATGTCGTCATGTGACTCATGTTTACAGTGTATAATTAACCAGTCTTTGCTTATACTGTACTTCATTTATTTAGTTCTTTCTGTTGTCAGTAATTCACCAATTATTGCAAAATCAAAGAAACTTTTTGCAACTTGGGATGAAGAGTTTCCAGTTTCACTTATCATACAAGGGAAGGATACAAAAATGTTCACCCTAGTATAATGAATTTTCTTCAACTTTGAATGTAGTGGTCTGGAAAGTGTTTTAAATGCTTTTTGGTTGCCCAAGATGGAATAGAAATCATAGCTTAGAGAAGTTAAAGGCAATTTACATGAAGCATTTTTTGTTTTGTTTGATAATTAAACTACAGTATCAATTTCAGACAAGTGAACTGAAAAATGTAGAGAAGTTGGTGGAGCAAACAGTTCAAGCCTTAAAGCCCTGTTAGAATGGACTGGGAAAGTGCAGTTTTGTACAAATTATGTGAAATTATATTTGTGGTACAGGGTAGGTAGGTCCTTGAAAATCGAATGTGTTCCTTGAAATTAGTCCTTAAAAATGGTTGCAATTTTTTATATAAACCTCGTTACAGTCCACAACTCCCAAATACCAATATGGACACAATGAGATATTGTCCTGCACCTTTTCAATTCTTTTTTTGTTGTTGCCTAAGTTAAGCTATTGTGTTGTTAATATTTTACATAATTTTTTTGGTTAAAAAACAGGAAATCAAAACATTCCAAAATTCCTAAACCTGAGAACACTGAGAGCCCCAAAGACGGCAAACCAGCTTCTCTTGCTGCGGCTGCATTAGACAGAATTGGAAGCAATAGAGGCAGTCCCCTTACTGTTGCTCTGTACAGTAGTATGAGCAAGTGAGTTTTTATTGGATTAATCCTTTAAATTGACAATGTCATGTTCAGAAGAGTCTTGTGGAAATTTTAAGGTGAACTTCTCAAGCTTCTTCTGTCTCAGTTTACAATGTTGTAATAATTAATAGCACTTCTCATGGTGTGCTAATAATATCATAATATATGAATATTATTGGCTATTTTGGTGTTGTAGGTGAGACTGGGTTGTAGTGTGGCAAACAAGAAAATTGCTTGATGATGTCATTTTACTGCGATTACCAGAATCCTTCATTTTGTTGTTTTTTGTTGCAACTTAGGGCTATTGTTGCTTAAACCTTGGCAGGATTGACAAATCTTAGTAAGGATAAAGCAAGAACATCGTAAATTATGGTAGTTGTAGTCAAATGTCATCATCATGAAAATGACCTATTGTGCCAATTCACCAGCTGCTGTAAACTCTTTGCATCAGTTAAAGTGACTTTGAAAAGCTTTATTTAAAAGTCACAATATTGGAATTATTATAATTTATTTATCTTTTCTAATTCTATTTTTATTTTGAATAAATAGTGATGCACTCAATGAACCGATTGCAATGGAGTCACACATCACTGAACTTACAGAACTCAAAGAACAGGTAAAGGTGACAGTAAAATCTTTCATCTGTAGTTAAAGGGACAGGTTCACGGTTCAGCGCATTTTCATTAATTAAATTACTTTTTCCAATTTATTATTAATTCTATCACTTAATAATCCCTTTCACATGTACAGTGTATCTCAGCGATCTCAGAGTGTATTTCAAAGTAGGAGCGTATGTCAGAGTATTGTGAAGTGGGATGGAGGAGTGCTGAAATCGCAGAAAAATTAGTGGATTATGCCAACACTACCAATGATGAATTTATTGTTGACCTGTAGGTTTTATTCTACGGTTGATTAATTTACGGCTATTTGCACCAAAGTTGATCAAGTGACTGTCAGGGGAGCTAGTGTGCAGATTGGTTCTTTGACAACATTCACCAGAAAAAATAACAGATTCCCTTATTGGATATTTTAGGGTATTTAAATAATATCCATAAAAATCCCAAATTTGGCAAAGTGACGACAAGTCTCAACCAGGGAATTCCCAACCAAGTTCCCCAGTTGGGACTTGTCTCACTCTTCCAAATTTGGGATTTTTGTGGGTATTCTTTAAATACTCTAAAATATCCAAAAATGGGAATCTGTTATTTTTCCTGTGATTAGAACATGATCATAATTGCTTTCATAGCCGATACAGCTCATGTCCCAGCAGAAAAACAGCATTTTGATTAACGAGCATGCACTAAACCTTGGACCTGTCCTTTTAGTAGTGAACAGAAACTTGAATAATAATTATTTATTCAAACATAGTAAGTACATAATTATAATGAGCATACCTTATTTACATGATTAAATACATGTGTCTTTGATTTTAATAACGTTATGTGAAATGCACCTTTTGAATAACAGACATCGTACCATTTAATCGAATATATATTCTAGGTGTGTGCGGTTTTGCATATTTTGAAAGAACAATAACAGTAAATTTAGCTTGTCTTTAAGCTTCTTCCTTTAAACCGTAAGTGTGGCAGATATATCTTAATCTAACCCCAAAACCTAAAGTTTGTTACTATGCTTCATAATGCTTGTCATGTTGACATCATGATCAAGTAGCATTGAAATGGTAAATTCAAATATTGGAAAAAAGTACAGGAAAGTAAAGTTGTAGATAATCTGAAAGTAAGTGCTGGTGTTTAATTTGAGGGATGTCAGTACTGGTTAACAAAAGATCTTTGCTATGGATTAAAGTTTATGAAAAGAAGATTGTGGGAAAAGAGAAGGCAATTTACAATAATTTTAGGGTGAAACAACGAGTCGCAAAGGTTCAAGAAACTATTTTTTAGTTCGAGTGACTTCATCCACTGTGGCAAAGTGGTACTGTCTCATAAAATTAAATCAATCATTTTTTTTTGTTGAATACCCAATGTTTGACCACTGATACATTCCTGAAGTAATCATTTTCGGCTGTTGTTAAAAGGGAGAAATACTATTCTAATTATCAAGGCAGGAGAATCCAAATTTATCAGATGACATATCAAAGACATGCGTACTTGGTTACAATAATCTGAGATGCCATATTTATGAAGAAGTGTAGTATTCATCCACAACCAACTGTCATTGTTTAGGGTTGATGTACAGACTAGAACCTCGATAACTCTAACTTGGATAACTTCGAACTCCCCATTATAATTAACTTAAACTAAAAATTGCCTTAATCTTGATGAAAAATTTGCCCTGAAAACTCGATTTCTGGTTCTTGTGGCTCCACTCGGATATTGAATATGCAATTGATCCCGATAACCTGAACCCGCACTAACTTGAACTGTTTTTCGTTACGCTTCAGAGTTTGAATTACTGGTGTTCTACTTTACATGTACATGAGTACAGAGTTTTTTCTGGTTAATAACCTTTAGCATGCATGCTAGTTTGACAATGACTGTAATTTTTTTTTGTCATCAGGTTTTGAATCTAAAGAAACAGTTGCAGCAGAAAGAACAAGCACTGATTGAAAAGGAGAAAAAGGTACTTACTGTACAGTCTTTTTATGCAAATAGTACATGCATCAATGCTTGTACATGATTGTAGGTAACTAGTACTATGCATTGTATATTTAAATGAACTTAGACTTTGTTGATTGATTCTGTAGGTTTTCAAAAGTTATAATTTGCTATGATGAAGCATTCGAAACATCAGCCTTAAGTTTGAATCGTTCAACAGTGGACAACTTGCTTTATCAACCCAGTTGCGATACATGTGCTTCATGTTGTGATGGAAACAGCAACACAGTTCCTGTAAATACTATAAACCACTTTATTCAAATGTCATTAATGCCATTTGTACATTAGGAAAGTCTTCTTGGATTTGTTTCACAAGTGCTGTAATGTACAGTTCAGAGATAAGGAACCAACGGATCACACACAAAACACACGCACGTTTTCTGCATTAACGCAAAATCGTTAACAAGTTTGAAAGTGCACTTTTGTCAGAGTGTGGGCATGTTTAAGTTTGTGACAAACATGACTGTATCACATGTAGCGGGGAGAAGCTCTCAACAATGATGGCATTTTAATATCCTACATTCTATAATAATTGATTCTTCTTTCTAGCCATCATAAAAAAATGAATGACATTTCTTCAGTCAGTACATTCACATAGTTCAACTCAATAGCTACATTGTACAGCAGATGAAACCATGATCTTGTTTGGGCACTAACTTGTGCATAAGTAATAATAATATAATCATTTGACATCATTTTCCGTTGCTTTTTGAAAACAAAATAAAGATAACAGAACTCAAAGCAGAGCACTGGGAAAAAGAAAAGGAATTCCGACAAAAGATAACACAGATGCAGAAGGATCATTCTGAGCGGTTAGAAAGTCTCCAGGTATGAATTTTAGTAGTAAGTTGCAGAACCTACATTGTACTTGAAACTAACTGAAACAAGGGATTCAGCTCTGACAATCACAAAACCTCTCATTGGCTCCCCATTTCATTTTGTTTGCACCTTATACAAAGATTTGTAGGTGCATCATGTCTAAACCAGTGAAATTTTATGTATCTAATAGATTCCCCTGTTCTTTGAAAAGTCTTTTCTGTTTACTTTTTAAAGTAAACAGAAATGATGAATATATGAATTTCCAATCAATTCATCATTCTGGGAAACTGCCCACCTACCCCTCCCCTAACCCAACATTTTGTCCCAAGTGAGACACAAATGTTAACGTTGAGTCAGGGGAGGGGTAGGTGGGCAGTTTTGCAGAAACCTTAATTGATCCTGAATTTCATATATTTGAACTGTGGAATGAAGAATGAATGCAAAGATGATCATTGCGGTTAAATACGCAACTTATGCAGTTGCTAAAGGAAAGCCTGAAAAAAAAAAATCATGGTTGCTAGGATTTGATCCTTGATTTTTGTGATATCAGTGCAGCGCTCTGACCTAACCAACAGACCAATTATGATATATAACCTTCATACCTGGCTCAGAAGCTTGGAGGAATAAAACAAAAGAAATCATCTTGAGGCTCAGCGATGAATAATACATTTTCTTTTGTTGTTTTTTCCCCCAAGCCTCAAAGCCAAGTGTAAGTTTTAATATTTTGGGATTTGGTCTATTGAACTAGGAAGCCAATTGTGAGCTGGTGTAATAATCAATTCATGTCATCATTTCCTTCAGGTGGAGAACAGAAATCTCAAACGGCAAGTTGCATCACTTTCAAAAGCAGGGAAAGAGAAAGCTCCTGCAAGCTCTGGCTAATTGCTGGTTATCAGTCATGATTAGTGCTTGACTGTGTACTTTTAGAAAAGTTTTTACTTCCTCTAATTAGTTATTTTAAAATTTTTTACTCAACGATGTTGTGGGTAATTCTTACATCTTTATAGTTTGTGAATAAGTATTGTATAAGCAATTACTTTTAGGAATCCATGTTTCATAATTATTTCTCAAACTCATTAATAATTCATTAAGAAAATACAAAGGAAATTAATGTTTAATGAGTGTTTGGAAATCGGATGAAACACTGCTTAGTATTTGCATCCTTAATTTCTCCTTCAAAAATGATTTTGATTCATCACCAGATGAAACACCTCGAAGTTCGTCAAAAATACTCCGCTGCGCGTCGTATTTTCAACTCTCTTCTCGGTGTTTCATCTGGTGATGAAACACTGCATCTCATGTTTGATATATTACATCAATCTGTTCAGTAAATGTTTACGTATTTTTAGCCTGTTAATGCTATATTAATTTATGAAATTTTGAATGTGGTGGATCACTCTCAAGATAGTAGGGAGCTGAACTGAGTAACCAGGCTTGTTAAATCAGTCTCCATCCTTTGAAACTTCATCACCATTTTCCCAACATGGTCCATGCCAAGATTAGAAGCATTTTACTTGAGTTGAATTCTTAACAACTCCATGACAGGTCAGAAGGAAAAAAGGAAAACTTGTTGTTTTTCACTTCCCCATTGTAAAACATTGCATTTTTTAACTGCATTTCTTGGCCTACAGTGAGTAGAAGATGGCTCAGAAATGTATCCAAAAGTGCCTTGCATGTGGCAAGTTTTTGTTTTGCTCATTAAACCCAATTGTCAACCTCATTGCAACGTAACATTTCACAGTTCCATGGTAGGAGATAGTATTGGCTTCCTCCTTCACACCATTTATGCAACTAACAGTGGTGTCATCAATATTATTATTAGTGGTATTATGTTTCCTCAAAATTTTGGGTAATTCTTCTCAGTGAAGTAAACCAACTCAGTGGTTGACTATTAAATTGTGTATTTTATTGCAATGATTATTATAAATAGTGCTTTTTTTATTTGGCCTTATTTTATTCAATATTAATATTATTTTTATAACCACTGAAATTCAAATAATTAAACCTCTAACTTTGTTTTGGGAAAAAATAATATTATATGACATAACTCTTACATTATTTTGTGTGCAGGTCAGTCGTTTGTTTAAATTACAGGACAGTCAAATCCTATTAATACGGACACTGAGGGGGCCAAAGAAAGTGTCCATATAAAGTGGATGCCAGTAACATGGGGCGTGACTGTATATTGCAGTGTCATTTGCATTCAGTGGATGTTGGTTAAGCTGTTTTATTGATTGTTTTATTTATTTACTATCAATGGAACATTGTTTGTTGTTAAATTTTTAAAGGACTAATGTTGGGGGGCTGCCATAGACCAATTCGGCTAACTCAATGTTGTACCCAATTCAAACCCTTTGGGGTTAAAACGTTTTGTTTCAGGAATTTCCATATCATTTAAATGTGAATGCCACATTATAATGCAAATACAATACACAAAGAATCTTATCCCCGGGAGGTTTGAATTGGGTACAACATTGAGATAGCCGAATAGGTCTATTAAGAGGCAGGTGCCAGAGTTTTCCCCTGGCTACTTTCATTAGAAAATAGAACCAAAAGAAGTCACTAGCTGTTTTATTGCATGCCTATACGTTCTTATTGTATTTACCCAGCAACTTGAAATCTTAGTGACATCCCTGTGGTGGTCAATGAGTTTNCCAATTCGGCTAACTCAATGTTGTACCCAATTCAAACCCTTTGGGGTTAAAACGTTTTGTTTCAGGAATTTCCATATCATTTAAATGTGAATGCCACATTATAATGCAAATACAATACACAAAGAATCTTATCCCCGGGAGGTTTGAATTGGGTACAACATTGAGATAGCCGAATAGGTCTATTAAGAGGCAGGTGCCAGAGTTTTCCCCTGGCTACTTTCATTAGAAAATAGAACCAAAAGAAGTCACTAGCTGTTTTATTGCATGCCTATACGTTCTTATTGTATTTACCCAGCAACTTGAAATCTTAGTGACATCCCTGTGGTGGTCAATGAGTTTAGCCAGTTAGATAAGAGAGTAAGGCCTTAAATACAGTCAACTCTCGTTAAGATAGATTCCTTAACAACAAGCTTTGGGCCGGGTTGTTTAAACCTGACTTAAGATTACTCAGGGTTAGTGCAAAATTCGAATTCAGATATGAAAGCTTAAAAAGCAAATTTAGTTTTTAATTCCTTTTGTCTACAAATTGATGATTGGACGCTCTAAAAAGAATACAGAAAATTACACTAGAAAATACTTTTGAACAAACAAACCAGAAACCCGGATTAACATGGTTAACTATTCTTCTGAGTCTTTCTTAATGAATGTTAGTGTTTCAGTTGTTCATGGAAATAACCACCCTGTAAAATATTGTATTTTTCATAAGTTTGTGATATATTTGGGAAGAATGTACAGTTTGCATTGTAAATATACACCAGTGGAATAAAGTGATTATGATAAAACACAGATTAAGGCCACATACTATATTTATTAAACAGTACTGTTTATCACTAAATAATGGCAAAGCCTTTGTGCAAAATACCCACAGGAAATGGTCATGCTTAAAGTGCAACTAACAAATTATATGACAATTTTTTTTGCTAGATAAAAACTCCTTATTTGTTATTTGCACATCTCCCGTAATACACCTCGTTTGCCCCCCAAAATTTTGCATTTAAGCATTGTCTGCAATTTCTCTTGTGACCACTGTAATACCCAGGAGAAATGAAAACAAAGTTACAATGCAAGAGTTAATCATTTGATCATGAAATGATAACACCATAGGATTTCAAGCACAGATCAAAAAGTTAGTCAGGTAAAGAGTAATATTAATATTAATAATTTAATAACTTATATAGCGCTACAGTATTAACAAAAATGTTTGCGCCATAACTTCCAGGAGCGAAAGGTTTATTTATCAGGGTTTGACAACTGTTTTCTTTTTTTCTTCTCTTGCTTTTTATCTGACCTATGGTAAGCACTGCAGTTTATACCGGCAAATGTTTAATCTATTCTTTTGGCAATCATAAGCCAAATAAATAGATAACTGTATTTCTTGCAGCTGTTCAGAACCTCAAATTAAATTTTAATTGGACCCCTATATGTCACAGCTTTTTTGTTTTTTTGTTTTTCAAAGTTTTCCCAACTAATCCAACCCGTGAGGTCTTTGAGAGCTGCGCGCAAGGGTGCCCGATGACTGGTGCATATGCAGGACTTGTCTTAATGCCTTGCTTTCACAGCACAAGCTGATTTATTGACCTAAAAAGCACTGAATTTTTCTGAGTTTTTTCTGACCAGGGCTGAAACCCTTTTTTGAAAAAATCAAGGAATTCAAGGACACATTTCCCATTTTCAAGGACTCAATTCAGTGCAAAAAAGAGCCTTGAGCCCTTGCCTTTTTTAGTTCTTCCACAACATGAGCAATTAAATTAATTAAATTAATCCTCTGAAGGTCTTTCAGTGTTTGCTCGTATTAGGCACTTGAGAATGTGGGTTGGATAAATTTAGCACAGAAATAAAAGGACTTTCCAGCACCAACTGCAATTTTCAAGGACTCTCAAGGTGCGAGGGAACCCTGTATCTAGGCATTCACTGCAATTATAACAATACTGTAAAACCAATGACTCATTGCTGAGATGCTACATATTTTCTTCTGCTTCTGACTTCCCTGTCCTGAAGCGTTTTGATCTGGGCATCTTTTCTTTTAATTTCCTCTCGTGCAGTAAGGTATAAGCTTGAGATGTTCTTCTTCAGTATTAGGTTTTCATCTCTTAATTTCTGACTCTGAAAGATATAGGACACAATGATATTTTATTGTCATCATAGAACCATTCACACAGTCTAATGTTGCAAGACACATGTCTCTTACAAGGCAAGGTACTGAGAAAAGTCCTGCAAATGCAAAATCTTGTAGACCTAACCTCAGCTTTTAGTTCTTTAATTTTCTGCTGACTTTCTTCATAGAGCTTTTTCAACTAAGAATAAAGTAATTCATTGAATTAGAACAATTCAACAAAATCTCAAAGTGTCGGTAGTTTGACACCAGACCTTACAGTCAATAATTAATGTACCAAAATAACGGTTACCTCAGGGTAAGTCATTTCTTGGTTGAGGTCAACAGACAGGTCCCCATATAAATCAAAATCGAAAGAGTCTAAGAAAAGAAAACATTTATTAATTCAACTCTGATTATTCAGAGGCATTGTATGAGTTTGGATCAGTAACACTATAGGGCCATTTTTTACGAGCAAAAATAAGACACTGCTTTCACAAGACACGCCCAAAATAAGACGTAAACTATCCTGTGTAAAAGGCACATTAAGATGCGACTTAGCTAAGATGTGTCTTAACAAAGAACAGGTGTAAGAAGGTCTGTTCTTAGATAAAACATGTCTTACTAAATTTCAGATGAAATGTGCTGTTTATACGGGATAGTTTGCATCTTATGTAACAAGTGCCCTTTCAAGGTATCTCCCTTATCTCAGTACCCAGGGGGTGGAAGGAGGATACAATGCCCACCCATCTGATGAGCCTGATTTTCACAAATGAATACAAACCTTTCTCAAATGTGAGATAAAACTGAAGTATTTTGGGTGCATAACGCCTGCATTGTCAGTAAAACTGCACTTACTTACTAGGGGATTTTGATCTAACCTTTTTCTGCTGACATTATTAATAGCTACATCTCCCCATACGGGGAGTTAATACATTCGAACCTCTGCTTATGGCCACCTCTCTACAATAGCCACTTGTTTTTGTCCTGGCAGACAAAAAAAAAACATTGACTCTTGTTTAAAACCTCTCTACAACTGCCACTTTCTTTGGACCCCAAGGTGGCCTTTGTAGAGAGGTTGAACTGTGTAGGAGGGGGCATAAGGACGGTACAAATACCTCAAAACCGCACAGAATTATGTATAAACACTGCACAGTATAACATAGGAAAACCACATTGAAATTACCTGAAAATTTCTGAATACCGCAAATCACTTGGTTTTGTAAAACAGCAATACCGAAACTTAAAATAAAAATTCCCGCAAAACCACACCAAAAATTGAGCGAAGCTGCATCACCTCAAACCCTTACGCCCCCTAAGTATAGTTGACTATACCCCAAGAAAAAAAGAACAAAGGTATGGACACAATAGCCCTTTAAGAAATAGCCGATTCTTTCTCATACACCTTAGAAATTCCAGTGATCAAAGGTTCCGACACAGCCACCCCACTCAGAAATGACTTTCATAGCCGTCTCGGAAAATGTCATCTACAGGGGAGATGGATATTAAATGGAATGAAATGAAGAGCAAATGGCTTTCCCCCGAGGGGGGCGGGGTTTCCTAGTAATAAGTTAATGGGACTGTGGAGCCTGATGCGGTCGCATTTTCACAGCTAGATTGACTATAATGGGGATGCATTTTCATTAGAGTTACTAGAATGGGATTGCACATGAAAATCCAGGTAGGTACAGATTTAGAAATAGGAAGATTTTTACTTTATTAAGTTTAACCAATGTGTCAATTCATTTCAGAATGACCTAGTTAAAAGGCTTTGTAAGGCAGATGCATAAACAGAAAGTTACTATTAAAGTTGGGATCGCCAAAAATTACATTTTCCTAAAAGTGACTAAGATGGGGTCTATCTTTAGTCAGAGAATAGACTATAATGGGTAGGGTTCTGAGATGCCAGCGGCACATACCCAGCAAACATTAACCCAAGTACCCCCCCCCCCCCCCCCCCCCCCCCCCCCCCCCCCCCCC